CTTAAGTATAACAATAAGATTATGACCTGTTTTTAAAAGAAGATAAAAAGTAGTTTGCATGTAAAGAAGTCTGTAACCCACGCATGTAACTTTACATCTGTTTGTTCAAAGTGTCCTTAAGGTGATCCAGACAGGCTGGACCAGAGGAGGAGAGACAGATCTGGACTCCTCACAGCAGAGAACTTCAGCACGGATTCCAAGGTACACCTTTTTCATGCTTTACAAAGAATGCATAAAGTAATGACTCTAATACACTGATATACATGCCATTAAACATGACTGAGTGAATACTAGATCACCTACACATCAGTGATGTTGAGTGTACTTTCTTAGCAAAAGGTTACATTTACATTTGACCAAGCAACATAACTTTTTTGTTCAACTTTCACATTTCAATGTATTTAAGGCAAATATTATTGAACACAGTGAGAGCTGCGCCCCTTTGTCTTTCAGTGAGACAACCGGACATAGCAAGCTTCTACAGTTGCACTAAGTTTTGATAACAGTTCAATATTATTTTAATAATACATTTATTTAAATGTTGATGAATTTAGAACGGTTTATTCATAATCTGATTATCTTTGTAGTACACTGTTGGATTTAAAAAACACATTCAAATAAAAAAATCATTATATTTATGAACAAACAAACACACCTCTTTCTTAAATAACACACTTGCTCTGCAATAATATGTTTTTTGATATTTCTGTTAGGAAAGGACATGCCTGAGAGACAGGACTGCTTCACCATGTTCTCTTTCTCTGAGGGTCCAGAAGAACATCCAAGAGGGAAAGGAAAAGCTTATGTTATGAGATTTAAGAGCAGTACAGGACATTCACTAAGAGACACTTATATTGTAACACAAAGACCTGCACACTGACTAGTTTTGTAGTCTAACAGGAACTTAATTTGTGTTGTTTTGTGTTTTACTTTGCACCTCAGAGACAGTGTGATTATTGTCAGGCCTATAAAGTTTGGCAAAAAAAAAAAGTCAGCTGATCAAATGCATTTGCCTCACTTTATGAGCTTCATATCACTTGTGCCTTGTACCTTAGAGTTTGCAACGTCATAAATAAATGGTGCCAATCTTCAGTCAGATGTGAATGTGTAACTTAACATTTTCAGCAAGAATAACGGACAAAAGGAGTGCAAATACAATTTATTGAAATGTGAACTAAAAGTTATCAAGCATGAACCATCACCATTTTTTTTAAATAAAAACGAAATAATATACATAAGTTACACTAAATGTTAAATCTGTTAATTGACAGGCCTGTGCAGGTGGTAACAGCTATGCCCAGCATGGGCTAAGTTCTGTAGGTGCAGCTGGTGCAGGTCCTCCTCCATCAGGTCTGGTCCTCCTCCCTCAGGCCAATATGAGAGGGGAACAAATAGTGTAATAGATGCTTTGGACAATAAGAAATATAAAGTTAACTGTTGAGTTGCTCAGTTTTTTTAGATTGAAAGGGTTTAATAACACAAACAAAAGGAGAGAAATAAAGATTGGTCTTTCAATAAATTGTGTTGATTTTGTCTTTTGAATTGTTTGTCTGAAGTCAAGTAGCTAGAACTGTTACTTATAGTTTGAATGATACAGTCTGGTTATAATGTGTGGAGGAGGCATCACAGGTAAGAGCACCATTTGTTGTGTTCCATCCACAACAAATTGATGTGTGTGTATTTATTTATCTACTATTTCTTGAATTATTACTGTCAGTCCAAAACAAGAGATTTTGTTTTGGTAACATTAAAAAAAACTAAAAAAACATCTCTTTTCCACACTATCTTGAATACTTTAGTTTTTACGTCACTACATTTATCTAACAGCTTTAACATTGTAAAGGTGTCACTTCGGACTAATTATGACAGCATGTCCTACTCAGAGCCCTAGAGTCTCTAGGGCTCTGGTCCTACTATTTTGAGACTTTGAACAAACCAGACCTTCATCTATTAATGTAGAAAATAGTCGGCACATTACACCATTATGAAAGTAATAATTAGTTAGCTCATTGTTCAAAATGAGCTCCAACTACAACAGTTAAGTCAACTCGTGCATCGGTAATAACAATACATCAAATGATATAATATAATAGTATAACTTGTGTCTACTTTAAATACTTTAACAACACTTTCCTAATTATACTAGCATACTTTTACTAAAGTAACATTAACATGTTTAAATGCAGGGCTTTTGTAAGAGAGTATTTCGTATAGTGTAGCATGGTCTACTTGACTTATCTAACCGAAGTGATCGTTACGTTACTTTGCAAACCGTCAAACCCCCCCCCAACCAACCAACCAACCACACACACACACACACACACACACACACACACACACAAAAGGACACGGTGACGTTGTGATTCACTTCAATTAATGATAACTACGGTAACGGAGCTTGCTAACAGCAAGGCACAAGGCTACTTCACTCATTTAGCTAGCTAATGTAAGATACAAATGCTGTCGAGCCCTCACTGCTTGTAAAATAAAGAGCACAAACTGATTACTTACCCGAGTGGCGAGCCCCGCTGTTCTCCGTCATTTTTCTCCCGGGTTGTTGTGATCACATGACTGACAAAGCCGTGCTCTGATAGGCCAGAAGTCGGAGTTGCATTAGGGCTCGATTGCTTATCCTGTCTGCGTAGCCCGGATGATGCTGCATCGCAATTTTGGACATCGAATTTTATACATCGAATTTTTTGACGTCGAATTCTTTTCACTTTAATTTTTGGGATCTGAATTTGAACATTCGAATTTATTTTTTATTTACATAGGTACATTCGGAGCAAAAACATTCAGATACATGATTTTCAAAGTAATTATTTTCAATGCCATAAATTCGGTGTCTAATCAAATTCAAATACTTCTGTCTCTTGTTTGCTTCCATATCAGGGGTACAGTGCTGTTTTTTACAAGTGGGGGGTGGACCGAACATCCTTTAGGAGGGTCAGAAAAAGGTTTTGAAAATTCTGAATTGCAGAACATAACGAGGATTATCTCAATACTTGAATATATGTATATGTTTGTTTCACAGTATATATTGCTGTCTGTTGCTGGCGAGGTGTCATTTTAAAAAACACAGAAAAACTCATGTTAAATCTTTTTGGCAGCTTGAGGCATCAGCGAGAAATTGAAAATAGATCATTGTCATTTAGCCAATAAACACTTCACATCCTGACACGTTGCAGAATACAAATATATTTCCATCACTTCATCAACTGAGACAGCTGTTTTGTGAAAGTGGTTGTCAGAATACTTTGGGTTAGCTGGGAGTCTCTGTCAATATGAATTCATCACAAAGAGAAGCACTGCGTGCTGGACTCCATCTGCCTCTCCAACCTGCACAGTGTGTAGTGGCTCTAAGTGCACTTGGCAGCGGCGTAGGTGCAGAGCTAATTCACAAGAAATTGCACAGTTTACCCCAAAATCAAACATGGCAGAGGGGGTGTAAAATGTGCTGGGGCTGTTTTACTTTGTAATGATGTTTGGGAAAGATGTGAGGAGAGACAGGAGAGTACATTGTGAGTGATGTGTTTGCAGCCAGACAGAGTGTCTATATATAAATACAGGCTGCAGTCTAACTAACACACACAAAAACCTTGTCGGGCTGATTATAACCATCAGTGCATAATCTCTGCATGCAACTGCTGCGAAACAAAACCCATAATTAAACTACGATTACGTTTTTTTATGTCGACATTGGCGCGCCCAGCACATGCAATTGTTCAGGAAACACAGGGAAATATAATTGTGAGATTTGCATGCCGACAAGTCAGCTCGTGGACAGACAGGGAGGTAGGTGCTGGAGGTATCAGATTGCTTGATTTGACTTGTCCGTTTTATAACACTCAGAAGGCCTACTCTCTTTATTTGCTTTAGTTTAGTAGATATATACAAACAAAGAGTCGATATTTTTTAAAACCATTTAGTGTTTCACATAATAAAATACACAACGGCTGATTATATGTTTTATGAGCTGTAGGTGCGTGTGTGTGTGTGTGTGTGTGTGTGTGTGTGTGTGTGTGTGTGTGTGTGTGTGTGTGTGTGTGTGTGTGTGTGTGTGTGTGTGTGTGTGTGTGTGTGTGTGTGTGTGTGTGTGTGTGTGTGTGTGTGTGTGTGTGTGTGTGTGTGTGTGTGTGTGTGTGTGTGTGTGTGTGTGTGTGTGTGTGTGTGTGTGTTGTACAGTGCGTAGATGCAGCGGACAGACAGGTCTCAGTTGGTTTGGTGTCCTCTGCTTACTTTTAATACTTGTAAATAAAACTTTTGGCGGGGGGGGAGGGGATATATCCAGTCTCTGATAGTGTTACGTTATTATGAGTATGCTCTGTTTGTTTCTGAAATTGTATATATTTATATAAATATATATATGTGTGTGTGTCCGCATCTGTAGCCTGTTATTGTCTCATTATACCGCACTGTGAATGAATTAAAAGAAAAATACATAAGTGGTCATGATCACATCTGTCCATCAGATGTGCCTCCTGTCATCATTAATGGACGTCTCTTTAAAATGACCGCTCAGAGGAGAGGAGTTCTCATTTCTCTAACCACCTGCTGCTTCCCCTCCTCTCTCCTCGGTTCCCCTCCTCGGCTCCTCGGCTCGCATCTCCTGTGGGCGGGACTAGGTATCGAGGATAGGAGTCGAGGAGGGGAGTTAGAGAAATGAGAAAGGGCCTAGATGTGGGACTGTTTATGTTCCTAATGCTGTTGTTGTTGTAAATGTCATTTTTTGTTTTGATTTCTCTTACATGACTATGCACTGCAACATTTGTTTTGTTTTGTAATTATTTATGTTACTGGTTCGAAATAAAATGTATCAATCAATCATGTGTATCCAGTAAAAAAAATGATGAAGGAGGGAGGGACATATAAAAAATGGGTGGACCAAACATGAGTAGGAGTTCAACAAACAAGGATATCAGTTCTTATCTGACCCAGATGCAAATAGAAGGGGAAAGACACAGATAAAGTGCAGTGAAGACAGAGGACTTGCCTCAGAAAAGAGGCAGAAGATAGGTTACTAACTGAGGAGAGAGCAGAGTCCAAAGTTTGACATCTAGATACAAGGTGTGTGTGGACAGGAGGTGAGGGGACGAGTGTGTTTGCAGAAAGAGATCGGGATGAAGCGACACCATGAGAAGTTATCTATCTCTTTGATGATCACTGTCTTCTGTTTGGGGAGCCTGCTGACCACTGCCTTCTGGATCATTGTGGACAACAGGTAAGCGTGTCAGTACTTGTAGAAAAATCTAGCTTGATTCATCCCACAAAACTAAGGAGCAAAGATACTAGCAGGGAAATCTGTTGCATTTTGACAATGTTGGCAATCAGTTACATTTAAATTACATGTACGCCTGATTATAAGCTAAAGAAGCTGTACAAATGCCGTTAAGACATAAACATTGATTATAGCTCATCACTGACAAAGATTATAGTGTGGACCAACTTAAACATTTATTGCTAATTCGTTAGAGCTAATAATTTTTAGTTCATCCCAAATCTTTATTTATGATTTGGTGGAACTTTAAAATGAAAGGTACAGAAAGTAAAAAATATTGATTCTGTTGGACAGAAATGTACATTCACCAAAAGTAATACGATTATTCATTCTGAAAACAACACACCATGTGTTACTTTGTTATAACTTCATTTTTCCTTTTGGTCTACGCATCGTGTGGAACTCTATATTAAACAAAGAACCCTTGCATTACACTGTATTTGAATACAAGCTTTAGAACAAACAATATGCTGTATTCAAAAGTCTTTCATGCAGTGGCGGCGCCAGGGTATGGCTGGGATAGGCTACAGCCATACCAAGAAATGGCTTAGCCCCACCTTATAGTAGCAGGAAGGGCCCTCAGATTATGAGATACCCCTACCCGAGGTAGAACAAATGACAACAATGATTTTTCTTATCTTTAGGGTTTCCCATTAATGAAATTGATTCTTGTCAAATTTTATTTTGGGGGAAAAAATGTTTTTTTGGTTGTTCTTTAGAACTACCCCAATCCCTGAAAAAGAGCCAAATTAGACCAGGCCGAATATGGGAAAGGTGACAAAAAAGCCCATAACTTGAGAATGGCCACTCTTTTCCTCTTCAGATTTGCTGAGGTATGAACCAGGTGGCTGTCCCACATCACCAAATACTCAGAAAATCATTTAACTAAAGAAATACTGAATTATAGTCCTGTAAACTTAGCTTTAGTTTAGACGAAAATTGTACTTTTTGGTGATAGGAACATAGGACTCCATCACTTTTCTCTCATTTATCAGAAAAAGAGAAATTCCTAAAAGATATACCATTACTGAATTGTCTAGGGTGCTATTGAACACTAACCAGTAGTTGTATGGAAATATCTGGTACAGTTCTATTGCAAATGAGATTTCTTTAGACATAGGCCTACCTCTTCTCTGATACAGTCAAATTCAGAATGGGGGAGAAGTGGCACAATAGCCTATAAGTTAAGAATGCTCACTCTGATGGTCATTATATTTGGAGAGGGAAATACCAGGTGGCTACATCACCAAATAGTCAGAATATGAGTAACCCAATACAATAAAGTGTATTAGTTCGCACATTTATTTGATCACCATGGAAACCTTTGATCTCTGGACACTTTGTTAGCTCAAATATAAACACTTGTGTCATGGAACACGATGATGTCATAACTCCAACTGACATGCTCAGAGCAGCAGACTTCAGATAAAGGTTAATGGTCCTGCCCTCAACAGCTCTACGTCAATTATGGGGTGTCATCATATGCTGTTTCCATGGAAACGCATCCCTCACCATAAAACACGATGTCGCTGTAACTCCAATGGACACGGTCCGATCGTCCCCCAAATTTCGCTTGTATATCACCGGTCCATGCCTCAACAGCTTTACGCCAAATCTGAGATCTCACCTTAGGCTGTTGCCATGGAAACGCATCCCTCGCCATAAAACACGATGTCGCTGTAGCTCCAATGGACACGGTCCGGTCGTCCCACAATCTTCACCTGTATATCACCTCTCCATGCCTCAACAGCTCTACGTCAAATCTGACATCTCACCATATGCCGTTTCCATGGAAACGCATCCCTCGCCATAAAACACGATGTTGTTGTAACGCCTATGAAAAGGGTCAAAACAGCACCATTCTTCAGATAATGGTTAACGGTCCAGCCCTCAACAGCTCTACGTCAATTATGGGGTTTCATCATATGCCGTTTCAATGGAAACGCATCCCTCGCCATAAAAGACGATGTCGCTATAACTCCTATGAAAATGTTCAAAACGTGCTCAAATTTCACACGTGTGCTAACAGTCCAGCCGTGAAGACATCTACAGGACAGTTTTGAGATTTCTTCATTTGTCGTTGGCATGGCAACACAATGCTCGCCATGAAACACGGTTTTCTCATAACTTCAGTGAAAATGCTCCAAATGGCCCAAAACTTCACAGGTTTGGTAACGATGCAGCCATCAACGCATCTAAGCGTATTATGGGATGTCATCAAATGCCGTTGGCATGGTGACAGATCATTCACCATCAAGTTAGTTCAAAAGTTTGCAGTTCAAATATTCTGCTGCTTTTCCAAGCCTTTTTACTTTCTCTTCTTCTCTCATCACACATTCAAGCCCCCAGTGTTCATGTATCATTTCAATCTAAATTATTCACTTTCTTCTTACACATTACATTTCAGCATAGCAGTTTAGCGTCAGATTTTCAGCATAAAGCATTCCCACTAGCAATTTCTTCAGTAATTGCATTCTCTAGTTAGCTGACGTTGTCCGTGTCAACAGGAGCGACAGTCCGCACACACACAAGACCGCAATTATGGCAGAAGCAAAAAAGCCCAAAATATATAATTTTAACTCCGTGTGGGAGGATGATTATTTTTTTGTTCATTCCAATTCAAAGTCTATCTGTCTCATCTGCAATGCGAGCGTGGCTTTACCGAAGAAGGGTCATTTAGAGCATTTCAAAACAGTGCACAAACGCTAAGAGACGGAATTCTCTCCTAATTCTGCCCTACGCTCTTCTGTTCGTTGCGTGCATATGTATCAGAGTTAAACATGTGAATACATAATTATAAGTTTGTGAATGTTTAATTGAATGTTTAAGTGAATTTTAAGAGATGAGATTGTTTCATTTAATATTTTAAGTTTTGTTTCCCGTGGGAACACCGTCCCGTTGCACGTCTTTTTTTTACTTCCGGTATGTATTTTCCACCCTCCGCGGACAGGCTGTCACTACCCAATCTGTCCCCCTGCCCGATCTGTATTGCGCATGTGCGAGATGGTCCGCCATATTGGACAACTCCGGACGGCAACCCAAGTAGGACACTTGACACAGTGGCTTTTGGCAAAGCTCAAAAAGAAAACTCGAGAGAGATGAGTTATTGTTATTACATCCAATCCATTTCTCACTTATTCTGACAATGTACTTAACCCCAAATAAAATAACCCAATAAAAAGAGTTGTTAAATAATAGTGAAGTCACGTTGTAATAACAATAACTCATCTCTCTCGAGTTTTCTTTTTGAGGTAAAAAGGTAAACCTTCTCCTGTACAGTAGCCTACAAGGGCTTGTCTAATAGAAATAGAATCTCACAGAAATGTATTAAAAGCACATACAGAACAATTAGTTACAAAATATTAGAATTCTGAAAGATTTCTTGAAAAACAGGTACAATTATTTTCTTACAAAGAACTCCTGTTGCTTTCCAGTATACAGAGCCCAGGTGAGACAAAGATAAACAATGACAGCGTTATGTGTGTTGTCTGATGGCTTACCTGACTTGTGTCTCTCTACTTGCTAACTAATTTGTCTAAAATGAACTGCCATTATCAATGAATTCAACAGGCTCTGCCACTATTCATCATGTTCAGCTTGGCTTATCAGACCTCTTTAGATAGTTGATCATCTTGGCAGTGATATACATCTAGTATGTTCAAAGGCTTATCTGCCACATGCTTTAAAGCTGAAGTATTTCCAAATGAGGGTATACAAAGAACTTTGAAAACAGAAAGATTTCTTTATCAAAAAAGTTCGTAGGTGCTATATATTTTTTGAGAGTTTGGTAAATATGTACTTGTAATAAGACTCCCAGTGGCATCTCTTAGATACATTGGCATCAAGCAAGGTAGTGCCCTTATTTTAGCGTCCTTTTATTGCAAAAATGTGATTATAATTTTACTGACATGACTCTCACACTCAGAGGTTTCTGAATTATTTTAGACTGGACATACTGATTTTATATAAATATATGAAATGGTTAAAAACACTGCATGTCTATTTTCCTGAGTAAGATTTTTTTTGAATGTTTTGTAAATTAATCCAAAATGTATTCGTTTTTTCTTCATCCATCCATCCATCTTCTCCCGCTTATCCGTGGTCGGGTCGCGGGGGTAGCAGTTCCAGCAGAGAGCCCCAAACTTTCTTTTCCCTGGCGACATCAACCAGCTCTGACTGGGGGATCCCAAGGCGCTCCCAGGCCAGCGAAGAGATATAATCCCTCCACCTGGTCCTAGGTCTACCCCTTGGTCTCTTCCCAGCTGGACGTGCCTGGAACACCTCCCTAGGGAGGCGCCCAGGTGGCATCCTAACTAGGTGCCCGAACCACTTCAACTGGCTCCTTTCGACGCGAAGGAGGAGCGGCTCAACTCCGAGTCCCTCCCTGATGACCGAACTTCTCACCTTATCCCTAAGGGAGACACCAGCCACCCTGCGGAGAAAACCCATCTCGGCCGCTTGTATCCGCGATCTCGTTCTTTCGGTCATGACCCATCCTTCAGGACCATAGGTGAGGGTAGGAACGAAAATGGCCCGGTAGACAGAGAGCTTTGCCTTCTGGCTCAGCTCCCTTTTCGTCACAACGGTGCAGTAAAGCGACTGCAGTACCGCTCCCGCTGCTCCGATTCTCCGGCCCATCTCACGCTCCATTGTTCCCTCACTCGAGAACAAGACCCCGAGATACTTGAACTCCTTCACTTGGGGTAAGGAATCATTCCCTACTTGAAGTGGACAGTCCATCGGTTTCCTGCTGAGAACCATGGCCTCAGATTTGGAGGTGCTGATCCTCATCCCAGCCGCTTCACACTCGGTTGCGAACCGATCCAGTGAGTGCTGAAGGTCGCAGACCGATGAAGCCATTAGAACCACATCATCTGCAAAAAGCAGTGGTGCAATCCTTAGTCCACCGAACTGCAGACCCCCTCCCCCACGACTACGCCTCGAAATCCGATCCATGTATATTACAAACAGGATTGGTGACAAAGCGCAGCCCTGGCGGAGGCCAACCCTCACCGGAAATGTGTCCGACTTACTGCCGAGGACCCGGACACAGCTCTCGCTTTGGGAGTACAGAGATTGGATGGCCCTGAGTAGAGACCCCCTCACCCCATACTCCCGCAGCACCTCCCACTGTAACTCCCTGGGAACTCGGTCATACGCCTTCTCCAAGTCTACAAAACACATGTAGACCGGATAAGCGTACTCCCAGGCCCCCTCCAGGATCCTTGCGAGAGTAAAAAGCTGATCCGTCGTTCCACGACCAGGACGGAATCCGCATTGTTCCTCCTCAATCTGAGGTTCGACAATCGGCCTGACCCTCCTTTCGAGTACCTTAGAGTAAACTTTCCCGGGGAGGCTGAGTAGTGTGATGCCTCTGTAATTGGCACACACCCTCTGATCCCCCTTTTTAAAAAGGGGAACCACCACCCCGGTCTGCCACTCCTTCGGTACTGTTTCCGACTTCCACGCAACGTTGATGAGACGTGTCAACCATGACAGTTCCTCAACACCCAGAGCCTTCAGCATTTCCGGGCGGATCTCATCCACCCCCGGGGCTTTGCCACTGTGGAGTTGTTTGACGACCTCAGTGACCTCCCCCCGGGAGATTGGTGTTGATCCCCCGTCATACTCCAGCTCTGCCTCTAACATAGAGGGCTGGAGTTGTCGGGTTCAGGAGTTCCTCAAAGTGTTCCTTCCAACGCCCTAACACTCCATCAGTTGAGGTCAACAACGTCCCATCCTTACTGTACACAGCTTGGATGGTTCCCTGCTTCCCCCTCCTGAGGTGTCGGACAGTTTTCCAGAACAACTTTGGTGCCGCCCGAAAGTCCTTCTCCATGTCTTCTCCGAACTTCTCCCACACCCGCTGCTTTGCCTTGGCCACGGATGAGGCTGCTGCCCTTCGGACCTGTCGGTACCTTGCAACTGCCTCGGGAGTCCCCCGGGATAACAAATCCCTGAAGGCCTCCTTCTTCAGTCGGACGGCTTCCCTGACCACCGGTGTCCACCAGGAGGTTCGAGGGTTACCGCCCCTTGAGGCACCTAGGACCTTGAGACCACAGCTCCCCGCCGCGGCTTCGGCAATAGAGGCTTTGAACACCGACCGCTCTGGTTCAATGTCCCCAACCTCCACAGGAATGCCCGAAAAGCTCCGCCGGAGGTGTGAGTTGAAGGCCTCCTGAACTTGGGCCTCCTCCAGACGTTCCCAGTTCACCCGAACTACACGTTTGGGCTTACCAGGTCTATCCAGAGGCTTCCCCCGCCACTCGACCCAACTCACCACCAGATGGTGATCAGTTGACAACTCCGCCCCTCTCTTTACCCGAGTGTCCAAAACATACGGCCTCAGGTCCGATGATACGATAACGAAATCGATCATGGACCTTCTGCCTAGGGTGCTCTGGTACCACGTACACTTATGAGCATCCTTATGTTCGAACATGGTGTTTGTTATGGCCAATCCATGACTAGCACAGAAGTCCAGTAACAAAGCACCATTCCGGTTCAGATCAGGGGGGCCGTTCCTCCCAATCACGCCCCTCCAAGTGTCTCCATCATTGCCCACATGTGCGTTGAAGTCTCCCAGCAAGATTAAAGAGTCCCCTTCAGGAGCCCCATACAGGACTCTTTCCAGGGTCTCCAAGAAGGCCGTATACTCTGAACTGCTGTTGGGTGCATAAGCACACACAACAGTCAGAGTTTTCCCCCCCATAAACCGCAGGCGTAGGGAGGCGACCCTCTCGTCCACTGGGGTAAACTCCAACAACGAAGCACCTAACCGGGGACTTGTGAGTATCCCCACACCCGCCCGGCGCCTCACACCTTGAGCAACTCCGGAGAAGAATAGAGTCCAACCCCTATCCAGAAGTAAGGTTCCAGAGCCGACGCTGTGCGTAGAGGTGAGCCCAACCAGATCCAACTGGTAACGCTCCACCTCCCGCACAAGCTCCGGCTCCTTCCCCCCCAGAGAGGTGACATTCCACGTCCCCAAAGCCAGCTTCTGTCGCCCGGGTCTGGTCCGTCGAGACCCTCCGCTTTCACTGCCACCCTTCTGGCAGCGCACCCGACCCCATTCGATGTTTCCCGTAGGTGGTGGGCCCGCGGGACGGAGAAGCGGAGGTGTTGCCCACGTTGCCTTTTCGGGCTGGGCCCGGCCGGGCTCCGTGGCAAGCCCGGCCACCAGACGCTCGCCGACGAGTCCTCCTTCTGGGCCTGGCTCCAGAAGGGGACCCCGGGCTTCCTCCGGGCCGGGTATCCTCACTTCTTGTGTCGTCTTTCATGAGGTATTTTGAACCAATCTTAGTCTGGCCCCTTGCCTGAGACCAATTTGCCATGGGAGACCCTACCAGGAACACAAGGTTCCAGACAACACAGCCCCCAGGTTCATCAGGGCACACAAACCTCTCTACCACGGTAAGGTGCTGGTTCCCCAGAGAGGTCGTTTTTTCTTACTTAATGCAATATTTTTTTTAATGTGAAGTGGTTTCTTATACATGTGGTGCTGAACATGATGATTTGTGTTTTGCATTACAGTATTTGTGGACTTTTGTTTAATTGTTGTTTTAGATAAACCACACCTGCCATCATAGAGCTCATTTGCCTTTTGGTGTGCACTATGTATAAATGAATGTGCTGTGCTGTTTCTCTCTTGTTTGCTGCACAGCCATCTTGTACCAAGTAGACCACCTTCACCCAAGAAAATCCCCCCTTGGCCCTCTGACCTTTGCAAAGGATGCAGGTGAGAGCAACCACCGACCTTTCTGTTAATGCCTTCATCAGATCTATCACGAGGCGTCACACACCTGACTGTGTGTGTGTGTGTGTGTGTGTATGTGTGTGTATGTGTATGTGTGTGTGTGACAGGGCGCTCATTGAAAAAGTAAGAGAACGCTACTCAAAAACTTGGAAGAAGCAAGAAGATATTTACAGAAACCTCAGGTAATTGTATTTGATTACATTTTGTTTAAAAGGTTTTGGCCAGAATTGCATTAATAGTCCATGCAGGCAAAGATTTGCTGTTTCTCAGGGGAAGACATACAGTCAGCCAACCAGTGGCGGTTCTAGACCAATTTGACTGGGGGGGCCACTAAGGGGGCCAATTATTTTCTGAGGGGGGCACAATAAATGCAGGACGAAAAAGAGAACTAGACAGTATGAAGTAATTGCGCATAAGAAAACAATGCAATACAGTTATTGGTATTTGTTTCAGTACACTTATTTATTTCAGATAGATCTTATAGTTATTACTGTTAGCTTCAGCTTAAGTTGTAGTGCAATGTTTGCACTAACACCAGATTTATATTAAAATAAAGGCAATGAACAGTTACATCTCTACTTTACATAAGGGTGTCTGCACAATCTCACATTACAGCAACAAAATCCTGCGGTTTTTGGCAAACCGAGTACCAGAAAATATACATTTTTTAAAAAAAGAAAAAAAACGTTTCATTGTTAGGGGGGGCCACAGGGGGGGTCAGAGGGCAGTGTTAGGGGGGCACTGGCCCCCCCATAGAACCGCCCCTGCAGCCAACTTGTGGAACCACGCAAAGTTATGTGATGAGGCCCTCTGTATCGCGAGCGCCGCCGACGGGCTGCTAGTGGAGCGCCGGCTAAACTGTGGCGCGCTTAATTGCGCCGGATTTGCGAATAAGATGAGGCCCCCTCCGCGAGGTGAGGCCCCCTCGCAGACACCTGATCTGCGTGTAGGGAAGGGAGGGCCTGCAGTCAGCAATTGTATAAACGCTAAACATTGTCACAGTTTGGGACTATTCAGTGAGTAGGTCTTAAAAGTAGTTAAAAGAAGCGATTTCATTCAACAAATTGCAACTGAATCCATTGGCTTTCTTATGTAATTGAAAAAGTGGCCAAAAATCGTAAGAAATGTAGCACGAGTTAGAGAGTTTGGTAAAACAGAGGGACTTCACCAGAAGATAACTTTAACTCACCTTGATGATTGTGGAATACAAATTCTTATAAGAAAGAAAATACGTTTTATATACTGTACAAACTGTGTTAGCTTTCTGTTCAACAAAGTCCTTCTGTTACCCCAGCTCTCAACTGAAAAGTCAGTGCCAGGGATTTGACAGGGCCATCATTACCCAGGCCAACACTCCAGTGGGATCAACTATTGTGTACTCTGCGGAAAAGAACAAGAAGACCCTCAAGGTGACTCCAGAGATTTTCAGCACCTTCATAAAGGTATGTCGTTTTTCATTCATTGTATCACAGCATATTGTGCTTGTTGTCTTTATTGTTCCTTAAAGGGCTCAGAGATAATAAATTATGTGTTTAGTTACATGGTGACTGGTTGATACAAACGACCACTGATGACCACCCTTTCAAAAACACACACACACACACAGAATTAGGATTTTCTATAAAAAAACTGAGATTTGAAGTGAGGACCCCTTAATCTGACGAATGCTCAAAAAACAACAACAATCTTATTTCAATATACAGCATGACCTGCTTTTAATGATATAATTGCAAATTTGTAAATGTGAAATCATTCTAGTTATTAGAAAATTGGTACTTTTGATTTTCATTCATTCTCAAATTTGTAACTGGCTTCACACCAGAAAAAATGGCATCCAGTACCCTTTCTAGGACAACACCAGTCTACAAAGTTTGCATTCATTTTGATATCAACTGTCTGATCCATGGAGACAACAACTTTGTCAGGACTAACCGGAATAGTTCAGAAAAAAACAGTCACAGATGAAGAGTAAGTTTCAGGTTCCAGGATACAGCCGACTGCTCCTGATACTGGGATGGTTTGAATACGCTACATTTCCCTGTGTGAGATCAATCAATCAATCAATCAATCAATGTTTATTTATATAGCCCAATATCACAAATGTTACATTTGTCTCAGTGGACTTCACAGTTTGTACAGAATATCAGTATGACAATACGACACCCTCTGTCCTTAGACCCTCACATCGTACAAGGAAACATCCAGAGAAAACCCACAGTTTAAAGGGAAACATGGAAGAAACCTCAGGGAGAGCAACAGAGGAGGGATCCCTCTCCCAGGACGGACAGACGTGCAATAGATGCCGTGTGTAAATTGAAAAGATAATACATTTACAACATAGGTAGACCAAATGTTTGGAAATGTGTGTGTCTATGAATCCATGAGGATATCCATCCAGGACTTATGATCCAGGACCACAGCAACAGGATCAGCCACGACTCAAGATCCCGCCGTAGATAGTAGGGCTGTGCATCTTCACTGGTCTCACGATTCGATTCGATTACGATTATCCTGTCAACGATTCGATTCAATTCGATATCCCGATACATCCCGATTCATACCAATGCGTTGCATCCTCAATTTTCTATATTACTGCACATGGCTTATTTTTCATCAATGCATACATGCAGTTAATACATATGAACTCTCTTTTTATTATTTAGAAAGTGCTTCAGAAATCAATAACATAAATGTCTTGACATTCATTTATAAACCAAAATAAATGAATTGTATAGGTCTAGCCTATACAAAAAATAATGCTTCTGCAGTCTAGCTGCAGCTTCTAGCAACGGTCTTCTGTTAAAAAAGGACACTGAATGTCCTGAATGTGGCATCACACACAGGACTTGAGTCTGAACACAGCAGACAACAGGAGTATTTACAACAGCATATAACAACTAAAATACTGCATGTGGGTGCACACTTACATTCTCTGTCTTACTGTTACATAATTCCCATGAATGTATGAGATTAAGTTAGCTTCATTATATCTCAGTGATTACGTGAATAATAAAGTTTCTATCGGGTCACTATCAGCCTGTCACTCATTATTTTCAGGGAGGGGGCGGGGTTTGGAGGAACGGAGAGGAGACGGTGATCGCGGAAGCTTTTTTCCTCCTGCCTTCACAAACTTTACACACGTATATATCGTCTGAAAATTGCTAGAGGACATTCATACTCTGCAATCCAAGACTTAATTAAATCCACCAAAAACCTGACATGATTGTAACGCGATTATTTTTCAAAAACATAATTCCCTGTGTCTCTGAGCCGCAGCGACACGGAGTGATTCAGAGCGGGTCCTTCTGCTGTTGGTTCTGGACTGGTGTTCTTGTGTTGATGGATAAAGCAGACTGCTCCGTGTTTGGTGTTGCTGTGTCGCTGTCACGTCTGTTCCCTGATCTCTGCGTCACCGACCGATTTGATATTAAAGTGACAGAAAAAAAAAACGTTATAGTAAAGCCGCGGCCGGAAAATCAGGAAGCAACGTTACTACGCTATAACCGATTATCTTCCGTCACTGCATCGAGACCGAATCGTCCACGTCCGCATCGCAATGCATCGTAGAAACGATTATTTTCAACACCCCTAGTAGATAGACACTAAAAAGAAATTTGGGGAAGCTGGGTTAATCGGAACATGAGAGTACACAGGTATAGACAGAGAGAAGGAAGAAGTAAGATGTCCCCCGACAAACTAAGCCTATAGCAGCAAAACTAGGGGCTGAATCTAATCAGCCCTAACTATAAGCTTTATCAAAAAGGAAGATCTTAAGCGCACTCTTAAAAACGGATAGGGTGTCTGCCACCCGAGATCAGCTGCGACGCCATTGTCGCAGCTGATCTCGGGCGGCAGACACCCTATCCGTTTTTAAGAGTGCACTTAAGACCTTCCTTTTCCAAGGGACGTAAAGTTGGCGGCCCAATGGCCCCTTGCACACTTCCAACTCTGATTTTGATCTCAGATACACTATAGTCAGTCATTTTTGAGAATTGTGCGCTGTTTCAGTACGTTTAAAATCGTAAAAGAATGTAGGAAATCAATAACGCAACTCAAACACCTCAATTGTACATTAAATAAATACTCACACAACACATGTTGATACTGTTGTAGGGGATTTGCAAACAAGATCCAGACAAAGATCCCCATGGCTCTTGCTCATTCACAAACATGATATAGAATATAATTGGGAGGGATGAAACCCTCTTTAATGGTCACACATGCAGAGCAGACACAGTGACATTTGTTCTCTGCATTTAACCCATCCTAGTACCAGGAGTCTAGTACTAGGAGCAGTGGGTGTGAGGTAGTAGTGTACAGCGCCCGAGGAGCAATGGGAGTGAGGGGGGGAAGGGGGATGTCCGGTGCCTTGCTCAAGGGCACCACGGCAGGGCAGGAGGTGAACTGGGACCTCTCGAAGTAGAAGTCCACACTCCATATTTAGGTCTGGTCGGGGACTTGAACCGGCAACCCTACAGCTCCCAGTCCAAGCCCCTACTGACTGAGCCACTGCCAGACTATATATCATATGCATGTTATTGTTCTGTAATACATTTTTTCATTGGTTTTATTTCCAGGAGAATCCATTTCCAAAGAAAAAATGGGAAACGTGTGCTGTTGTCGGGAACTCAGGGATTCTGGCAAACAGCAGCTGTGGAGAGATGATCGATTCGGCTGAGTTAGTTATCAGGTGAGAAATCTGTCAAGGTCAGAGGACTGAAAGGCTGATGGCGACATAAATCCACAGAATAATTCTAATAATAATTTCTGACTCGTCTGTTATGCCTTTTCAGGTGCAACCTACCTTCTTTGGGAAAAAGCTATGAGAGACATGTGGGCACCAAGACTGACATCGTGACAGCCAACCCAAGCATTTTGTTGAAGGAGTGAGTAAATAAATGCGTCTCACTGCACCAATAGAGTGTTCCCTTGGTGTTGTTGCTTGACATCTTTTTATTTTCAGGTATGGAGATCTAATGGGGCCACGCCGTCCATTTGTGGAGAGTCTACATAGCTACGGAAAATCCATGATGGTTCTTTCCCCCTTCTCCTATGCAGGCAATACTCCGGTGTGCCTGAGGGCAGTATACAGCATTAGGGACTTTGAAAGTCCCATTCAGCCCATGTTCTTCAACCCTGATTACCTCCGGAGTCTGAAAGACTTCTGGAGCTCCAGAGGCCTAACCAGAGGCCTACTCAGCAGCGGCTTACTGATGGTTAGCATAGCGCTGGAACACTGTGCCAACGTGCATCTGTACGGTTTCTGGCCCTTCAGTAATCATCCATTGGAACTCAATGCCGTGAAAAACCACTATTACGATGATAAAAAAGGTATATGGACTGTCCACTACATGCCGGATGAGTTTGACCTGTTGTTGCAGCTGCACAGTCAAGGTGTGCTCAGGCTTCACCTGGGGAACTGTCGACCGGGTAGAAATTAGTTCCCAGGTCCAGAGACAGATGAGACTGGGCATCTGAAGAATCGGGACATTTCCTGGTGGACTGAGGGTTGATCTCCGAATTTGTTTCTAAACTATGCCTTTTCAATACAATCCACTCACTCTCCCCCCATATCAGTTCCTAGACCCTCTGAGCAGAGGGATAAACCAGAAGGTGCAATAAAATATATTGTCACTTACACCAATTAATACATTTGATAAATAATTAGGATCTCAACTTTGATAAAAAATCATTAGTATTGTCATTTTGGCCATAATAATAGTCATAATCATCTTTTACTTTTCCAGCAAAATTGCAAGGAAATGGTTATTCAAAATATAACTTTCAGTCATGGAAAGGTTTCGATATTTGAAAAGATGTGACATATTGTGAGATGTAAAGGAATTTCAGTTAGATATATATATATATATATATATATATATATATATATATATATATATATATAACTCCCTTGTTTTTATTCCAAAGGCCACTCACACTAATTTGCATTTCAGTCGCCAAATCCATATAATGCGTTGTCAAATGTAATAATAATAATAATAATAATAATAATAATAATAATAATAATAATAATAATACATGGGACTTATATAGCGCTTTTCTGGAAACCCAAAGACGCTTTGACAGAGAATTACAAAAAGAGATAAACAAAACAGAAAATAGGGTGGGGGGGGGGGGGGGTCAGTGGTTGAATGCAGTGTTGAACAGGTGGGTTTTGAGTGATGTTTTGAATGCTGTGAGGGAGGAAGAATCTCTGATGGATTGGAGTAGAGTTCCAGAGGGTGGGTGCAGCAATGGAGAAGGCTCTGCCGCCCCAGGACTTGAAATGTACACTTCCTTCTCCTCAATTTGATCTCCCTGTCCGTCTGTGTGTGTGTGTGTGTGTGTTCCTAAACGTTTTCTCCTCAACAGATAACCTGTGACAACCCTGTGGTTGTCCACCAGTTGGTGCTGCTGTAACCTGTCCACCAGTTGGTGCTGCTGTAACCTGTGTTTCTTGTAATCAGCAGTGATGGGACCCACCTGTGGCACTTGATTCCAGTAGATAAGAGGGCTGCAGAACAGGCTCTCGGTCTCTCTCAGCTGCCCTGCTCGGTGCAGCAGGACACCGCTCCTCTGTTCTGTTTGATTGTTGTTTGTAACCACTGTGTTGCATAAAATAAGTGATTGTTTTGGGCAACTCCGGTGTGGAACTGTTGTCCTTATGTTACAAGCAGAGCCAGCTTGTAACATAGTGCTGTCAAAATTATCGCGTTAACGCCGGTAATTAATTTTTTGAATTAATTGCGTTAAAAATATTTAACGCATTTAACGCATGTGCAGAATGGCCCGCCCCATACGTGCCACCAGTGGCAGTGCCAGGGTATGGCTGGGGTAGGCTACACCCATACCAAGAAATGGCTTAGCCCCACCATGAAAAATGATGTTAAAGTAAGCAAAATAAAGTCCGCCAACTCGCGCGGAGTAAATTGCACAGACAGCAGTTAGTAAGATTGATTTCAGTAGCTACGGTTTTGAAAACTTTTGTCACGTAGTGATCGTCCACTCAATAGAACATCTTTGATAATGTCTTCTGGCCAATCAGAATCAAGATAACGGCGTGGTGTTGTTGCAGGAAGTCCCGACGGAGAATACTTTTGCTGTAGTACAGGGGTGCACATAACTGGTACGCTAGGTTATGTACGTAATCTGAAATGCGTACCGTCACTTGTGTCACAAAGCGCATTTGCGTACCGACGTAGGCTACTTGTGAAGCTTTTCCAGAAGGCGGTTAGATCACCGGACGACAGAGTCGGTCTCCGTGTGCACAGACAGGGCTGCTGTTAACGTCGGTCTGTACAACGGAATTGTGCCCAAAACTACGCCAACTGGCTGCGGAGGGAGACTCCCCCCCCTTCACTGGAGAACTGCGCTAAAACAGCTGATCACAACGTTCACACTCTGTGGTCACGAAGTACTCCACGAGCCGCCGCCCCCCCCCCCCCCCCCCCCCTCTGTCGACTTTCCTGAAGTACGTTGATAGAAATCAACACGTAATGAATTAAGACCCCACGGTTTGATGATTGATAGGTGTGTGGGTTGTCTTTCATTTTGACACGCAGAATAATGTTATAATAAACATAGATACTGTAGGCTATGTTAAATGGATATATCCGCCTTCTTTCATTTATCTTTCCATTCCCACAACAATATACATAAATAAATGGCATATTTTGGACATAGTTCGAATGGTGATTAATCATGATTAATTAATTTTTAAGCTGTGATTAATCTGATTAAAAATTGTAATCGTTTGACAGCCCTACTATATATATATATATTTGCTAACCCATAGCCCTATACAAAGATCTTATGTGAAACCAATATTACATATGCAACAATTTCAACTTTTCACTAGTCAAACAGAAACAACAAAGTTAGCCCTTTGCATGATACATTTATGAAAATGATCTGGTTAAGCAAGCCTTTCAAAAAAGTAGCAAACACGCGGCTCATATTTGCATACACATAGCCGAATACTAAGACAGGCAGTAAATTAGTTATCTATCTTGACACTAAATGTATACAAAAAAAACTAATTCACCTTTAAAACAACACCATTTCAAATCCTTACCTTATTTAAGTGTTTCTGGATCGGACCTTCTCACGGAAGGCGCCTCTAAATAGAATGAATTATCATTATTATTTATTATTATTATGATCTGAAACGATGTAATCAAAGTCAGAATAATAATAATCTCTCAAAACACGAAAACTCACAAAGATTATAAAGGAAATGAAAACACAAAAATGTCCTGTACCTTTGTGTATGTTCAACCCGTTCAACCCAGTCTCATAAAAAAACGTGTAATAACTACGTTGGTCCACAACGTAGGACGTAGTATTTCTACAAAAACGCCTCTGAAATTGTAAAATCCCTACGTTTTTTTTCACCATTCATTCCAATGGCTGGCGTCTATGTCACGTGATCTTCACATTTCTCCCTGCAGAAAAAAAACATGGCCGAACTTCGTTTTATTCTCGGTGTAAAATGCCTATTTTAAAGTTAGTTTGGCCATTAAAATGCGTTTTGATGTCATTTGATGCGAGAAATATGAGTTTTTATTTCAGATTATGTGTGCAGTGGATGTACATGATCTTTAGTTTGCTAGTTATTACGAAGATTACTTCAGGAAATTGTGTCTATACAACGTTTTCATTGTCACCAAGGTGGTTGCTAGGGATGCTGCTATCGATATTATTTCTGTTATGTTGTGTAACAGTTTAATGGTGTAATCTTTATTGCTACCCCCTTCCCCGTCAATGTATAGTGTTGGTCCACAGCGCAAACGTATTAGTTTAACAAAATCCACATCTAAAATTGTGGCATAGATACGTTATTTTCCCCTGTGCAATTCCAGTCTCACATCTCACAGCACATCGTCATAAACAAATACCGGAAACAAACCGAAAACACTTTATTCCGAGTGTGCTTGCTTTTCTCTTTGGAGGTCAACACATAACGGCATTGTAATACACGGTTCGGCTGCATTACATATTACATATCTGCCGTAGTTCTCTATTTATAGAGCCCTGATGAGAAGACTTCTAGACAAACATGAGGAACTGCCGCCCACACTGAAAACGTGACGTGGATCATAAATATATCAGCCATTAAACAACATCTTACATTTCTTTTCACACAATACGTCTCCTTGCAGTATCAACACTAATTCGGCTGACTTTTATATTTGATCCAATTGGTAGATAGGCTGTATTTACACCATAAAGGTGCACAGCTGATATAAAGGGACACCTAGTGGTTAAAGCATGTTATTGAATTTCATTATTTTTATTATTAGATATTAATAGGATCCCTATAAAGTATATTCATTACTCGTTATTCTCTACTAATAGTTAATTAAACACTGTATAATGACTATTTTGCACATCCCTTTCAAGATTTCAAGATTTTCTAAGGTTTATTGACATACACAAACGGTGTAGTTATGCAATGAATGAAAAACTTTGTGTATACCTCCAGCAATGTTAACTATGTTGAAGCACTTATTTTAACTGATATTATACATAATGTATTATACTCTTATATAAGATGTATGTAGATAGTATAAGAAATGTGCAGAATACGACAGTTTAATGGTGACATATTGATCAGATGTCTTGTAATGCACTGTTGAGGAATCTGCGACCAAAGTTGTTCATCTCCGGCCTTGTCAGGTATTGAACAATCAATAAATATAGAACACAGAATTATTAAATATAAAACACAGAATTTGTGTGATTATACTAAATTATTTACAAATAAACACCACTGCATATTTACAACTGTTACACATGCTGATGTAACGCAAATGTTTCCAACTTGGGATCAATAAAGTATATCTTATCTTAAGATGATCGATGGCTACTGCCATATTTGAAAAATGTGCCTCTGAACCTTGACAAGTGCATGTTTCAGGCTCATCAATAAACAACAGGAGGGGTCACAGACATAAGACCAGCTGTTAAATAAAGCTCTTCTGACCTTAGCTGGCATGTGGGTAATGCTGCCCATTATGGACACAAACAATTTTCACCCATTTATTAATTATATGTTTTACATTTGAGTGTTTCCTATCCCCTAAACCTCCAGGGATGGACACAGTTTAATACTGGCCACTTCTTATTATGGGAAATACGAAAACGTCTTTTAAAACTACAACTCCCAGTAGAGGAGTGCCATAGAGCATGTTGCGAAGGTTGCGAAACACAATAGCCAGCATGTGTAGTTCTGGGGACGGGGTGGGGGAGGGGGGGACGGGGTGGACCCATTCAAATCCAGTTTTGGACAGTCTGCCGTGGTTCCATCCCATTTCAAGTGCTGTTCGACGCTCGGCACACTCTCCAATCACAGAGCTTGAGGACTATCACGGGGTTTGTCAAGCGAAGCGGAGAGAATACTTACTTCCGGGTGTAATATTCTGTAAAGCAAATGAGCTGCTCTGACCCTCGGTCCTGACCATGCGAGCCTGCCTGTGCCTGCAGACCTCCACTCTCAGGACAGTTAAATAAATAAACACAAGGATAATTATGTGTTATTGTTGAGTAAATGGAGAATTGCACAGGGGAAAATAACGTATAACAGAAATAATATCGATAGCAGCATCCCTAGCAACCACCTTGGTGACAATGAAAACGTTGTATAGACACAATTTCCTGAAGTAATCTTCATAATAACTAGCAAACTAAAGATCATGTGCATCCACTGCACACATAATCTGAAATAAAAACTCATATTTCTCGCATCAAATGACATCAAAACGCATTTTAATGGCCAAACTAACTTTAAAATAGGCATTTTACACCGAGAATAAAACGAAGTTCGGCCATGTTTTTTTTTCTGCAGGGAGAAATGTGAAGATCACGTGACATAGACGCCAGCCATTGGAATGAATGGTGAAAAAAAACGTAGGGATCTTACAATTTCAGAGGCGTTTTTGTAGAAATACTACGTCCTACGTTGTGGACCAACGTAGTTATTATTACACGTTTTTTTGTGAGACTGGGTTGGTATGTTTCTTTCTTAAAGCAGCAAACAGAAATCTTTGTCCCAATTTACAAAAAAAAACTGTAATTGTTATTTAACTTTCTTTGTTTTATGCAAAACACTTTTTAATTCAATATTATTTTCAAGTTTTATATACAAAAAACATTTTTAATATTAAATATCTTTATATATTATTTTTCAAGTTAGTTTTTACGATTGTATTATATTATCATTTTATTTTTATTTTTGTATTTATTATTTTAAATAATTGTTATTTTTGTAATTTTAATTCTTATTTTATTTCATTATTTTAATTATTATTGAATAAGCCCTGCAGACAATAAACATCGTTTTTTGGTAGTAGACAAATCTAATTATAATTATAATTTATTTATTCTGAAATGTATTTATTCCTGTATTTAAACTTTTTATTTTATTTGAATATCATTTTTTTATACAATAGATTAATAAAGAATGTTTTAATAACAACAAAAGGAGAAAACAGTGAGAAAAAATAAATTAAATAATTCATTTTAAATACTCTTTTTAAAAAAATGGAATGACAAAATACAAATTAAAAATAACAATTACAAAAAATACAATTTAAAAAAAGGGACGTAGTTTAAGAAAGACACACAAACGAAGGACATTTTATGTTTTCTTTTCCTTTATTATCTTTGTTAGTTTTCACGTCATGATAGATAGATAGATAGATAGATAGAGAGAGAGAGATATATATATATAGAGGGATAGAGACATAGATAGGTAGAGATAGATAGAGATTTTGTATCCATTGGTAAGGGGCCGAGGGAAAAAAGTAAAATGGTCATGCCTCAGTAACCATGTATATATAGTGGCTCAGTGGTTAGGGTAGGCAGCACATCAACAGCATCTCAATCTTCAACAATTACAAAAATAACCATTAAGAATAATGCCCAAAATTAAGAACATTCGTTTTTATTTTCATAAACTTTAATGCAAAAGTCTGTGTACCTTCGAAAATGATGTAACATAAACCAATAGGGGAAGTGTAAAACATAAATAAAAATGTGTGAACAAAAACAAAATATTTCGAAAATGTAATACAATATATAGGCCACCAAAAAGATGAATTATTCTTTCACATCTAGGTTGTGTAATATTTGCTGGTAGTTTTATCTGATTTTGGTTGGGATGTGGAAACTAAAATGAACAACAAACCATGCTTGGTTGTACAACTTACAAATTATGTATCACTTGTATGGAGACTCTTATGGCACAACTTTTATTGTATTTACTTGCACTATTTTATCTTTTTTTATAGTGTTGCACTGTTGGAGGAGCCTGTGACCTAAGATTTTCAACGACGTAACTACACTGTAGCTATGTACGAATGACAATAAAAGCCTTGAATCTTGAATCGTTTTTTAATTTTTGTATTAATCTATTCAATTGTCATTTGATATACAAGACATACAAAGCAACAAGACATTACATACAGTAAATAAAGGGTCAAGGCTGAACCTGTCTCTGCGGTCCTGCCTTGGGTCTCGTCATGCTGCTTCCCTGATGGCTTCCACAGGATTGGAGCTGACATCCTCGTGGATTCATCTTCTTATTACAGACACATGCATTTCCTAACATTCGGTCTATATCCTGTAAAATGTATTATCTCTTCGTTTTACACACGACATCTATTGCACGTCTGTCCGTCCTGGGAGAGGGATCCCTCCTCTGTTGCTCTCCCTGAGGTTTCTCCCATGTTCCCCTTAAACTGTGGGCTTTTCTCTGGAAGTGTTTCCTTGTACGATGTGAGGGTCTAAGGACAGAGGGTGTCGTTTTTTACTGATATTCTGAACAAACTGTGTTGTTGTATTTGCTGTAAAGTGTCTCTACTGTAGGCTATTTTTATTATATGTACAGGACTTTGGCTCGACCAAAAATCGTTTATAAATGTGCTATATAAATAAAACTTGATTTGATTTGATTTGAAAGAAAAATAGAAAGAAAAATACATTTGGATTCTTCAGATTAAATGTTTTTTAAATATCTAATTTGTTTTGATTGCCTTCTTATTCCTAATGTTTTTAATAGTGCTAATATATTGTTTACATTCTTGATAGAAATGTACAAAATGTGGTTTGGAGTTAGCTCATTTCTTTTTATGGATATGAAATGTCCCTAAAAATACAATTAACTGCACAACAAAGACACAATCTGCATCCATACTATCTTCCCTGAAGTACATAAGAATGTCTTTGTCCTGGAGAGTTGAACCTTTTGTCCCGTCTTGTTCCTAATAAAACATTCTACACCATACCACAATATTATACTATACAATAATTCATAAAATAAATGGCCAATAGTCTCTTCTTGTAGATTAGAACATGTGCAGGAATATTCAATATCAAGTCCAAATCGTTGCTTGAGTCTTGAAACAACGTCACCGGAAGTCAGCTGTCACCTTAAAGGGTGGTCATTTAAAGATGGCGGAGTGCATGGCCGCACGTTTGGCTGCTCAGGAGGAGCAGATACGGCTCCTCTCGGGAGAAATATCCTCTCTTCGGGACGGACTGAGTCAGGGTCTGGATGCAGGTGTTGGTGCGAAGGTTTCCCCGGAGCTGGAGAGCCTGAGGACGGAGAATGAGAAGCTCCGGTACCGGCTGCTGCACCTCCGGAGGGCTCTGAAGGAGGAGCCGCAGCTGGGGGGACAGAAACAAGAGAAGGGGGGAAAAGCTCCGGAGAAACACACCAACAAGGAGCAAAACAACAAGGAGAAGCAGAACATAAACAACCGGGCTGAGAAAAACACCAACAAGGAGACTAACAACCGGGCTGAGAAAAACACCAACAAGGAGACTAACAACCGGGCTGAGAAAAACACCAACAAGGAGACTAACAACCGGGCTGAGAAAAACACCAACAAGGAGACTAACAACCGGGCTGAGAAAAAGGTAGTAATGACATCATTGTAAATACTGCCATACTGTAATTTACTATATTTTAAAATTATTTTTAATGTTATTATTTATTTGTTTATTCCACACATAAGATAAGATAGTAATTTATTGATGCCAATTTGGAAAATGTTTGTGTTGCAGCAGCATAAAAAGACAAGGCATTGAACAATACAAATTTAAAAGACAGCAAATAAACAAGAAAGTAGAAAATATAAGTTACGACGGTTACGACCCGCCCCCTACTCCGTGGTAGTGGCTCGTGGGGAGACCCGCAACATAAAAGAAAACAACAAAACCAGTACTTAGTAGTGATCATTTATTTAATGTACAGCCGCTACTCACACATGCCATCCGGCAAACGAACGAGGTCTGGAGGACTGGCCAAAAGAAACTAAAAGGAGGGGGCCCGAGCCAGCTACACCACGGGCAGTAGGACCCAGAGCTTCCCTCCCCTAACCAGAAATCAAACCAAAACCCTATGGGGAACAAAATAAGCCACGAAAACTTGACTACCAGGTCCTCCAGGCTACACATGAAATTACCAGTGGTAATGGGGTCTATAGCTCAAAAGCAGCAGATAGATCATCAACAGAGCAGAGTCTTTCGTCATGTTCCTAGTACTAGACTCCTGGTACTAGGGTGGGTTAAATGCAGAGGCCAAATGTCACTGTGTGTGCTGTGTGCTCTGCATGTGACCATTTAAAGAGGGTTTCATCCCTCCCAATTCTACTAGGATAGGCGACCTCCTTCTCCTCCAGTTTCTCCTTATAACAGGCTGAGTGTCATTGGGAACACCTGGGCAGAGGCGGAGCCAGGGGCAGACCAGGTGCACCTGCCAGGGAGACAGAAAAGACAACACGGAGGGGAGCACGTAACACATGTTGAATTTACAAATGAACAATAACAAGATATAAAGCAAGGTATTATATATACAAGACAGATGGAATATTAAATTATATATACAAGACAGATGGAATATTAAACTGAATATATAAATGTAAAATGTACAGTGTGATTTTATTCCAAGAGAAACTATGGAGTAGTTATTTTAAAACAAAACATGTATACAAAAACTGGTTGTTTTATTTTTTAAAGCGCTTGGTGGAAAGGAGCAGGGAGAAGAACAACTTATTTGACCTGCCCCTTTTTACAAAAAAATAACAGTTGCTTACAAATACTGAAACATAAAACCAGAACACAATCAAAAGTCAACTTGATACTGTCTAAATTTGCTTTCTTCATACATTTTCTTAAACATAACATTTTTCTTACAGCCCTTAAAATCATTCGGCAAAGAATTCCACTTCTTTACAGTTTTCTTATAATAGTTCTCCATCTGTGTTGTTTTGTTTTACTTTGTATGTATGCACCATGACATCAAGTCAAATTCCTCGTATGTGGCAACCTACCTGGTAATAAGAATACGAAACAGGTTTATTACCAGGTTGGTTTACACGTACGAGGAATTTGCCTAGGTGTCGTGGTGCATACATGAAAGTAAATCAACACTTAAAACACAGATAGCCCTTTCTGATTCTGAATTCCCAGTTTAATTGTGTGATATTATTATTCGTGGTAGTGGTGCTGCAGCTTTATGAGTAGTGGGCCTCTGTTGAGTGAAGCCAGAATGAGAAACTATACCCTCTCATTTCCAGAAATAGCTTCCACACTCAGAGTGACACTGTGCATGGTTTAAATACTCCACAGCTATATTAATAATAATGTGACTCAGCAGTAATAGTGATGCAATCTTGCTGCAATTCTATTAAACAACAGAGTGAATAGTGAATATATACTTAGGTCAGTGGTTCCAAACTTTTTCAGTCGGGACCCCCTTGGGTATTGGAAATATTTTCGGGACCCCCCAACCCGGTTCCCATCTATATTGGTAGGATTAATTGTATATTGTTGTAAAAACATTACATTTTCTCTGCTAATAATAATAATAAGATATAAAGATCCAACTATAATTTTATATTTTAATATGGATTACACATGAACAAAAGTGCTTGTAATAGATACTGTGAATTAATTTGGCCTAATTAAAACTGGTTGGCCTTCTTCCCTGAGTAGTAGATTTTTAAATTCAAATTTCTTTAAGGAAAATATATGAATTAACTACTATTTCTACTGCAGGTAGCAAACGATCACATCACTTTACCATTCCTATTCCACACATAGCTCATCAATGACTTGTGTGTGCTTGCTTTCCCTCGCAGATCTTCTCAAACCGGGGCTGTTGTTTTGAGACTGCCCCTCAGTTCATTCTCAATGTTCAGCTTTGATCTGTATTTCGTTTTGATGGCAGCAACAGCAGAAAAAGCCGATCTCACACAAGTAGGATGTTGCAAAAGGCAGCATTAGCCCACAGCTCTCTGACCGATGAGATATTTTCGAGCAGTGTTTGTTTACAATTGAATAATAATACATTTGATTTATATAGGTGCACTTTAAAAACAACGTCATCTCAAGGTGCTTCACAAAGCTAAAAGGAGAAAATAAAAAAATCTTCCCGCGACCCATCTGCAGTACCTCCGCGACCCACCAGGTTTGAAAACCACTGATTTAGGTGAAAGTACAAATAAATATTACAAGTTTATTCACAATTTAATTTGTTGTACTCCTCCTTACCAGCTGGAAACTCCAAGAGATTAAGTGAGTTATAATATTACACATATTATTCTGAAATAGGCTTTAATGAAGAATACATAACCTTTAACTTCTTATGAGGACTTGTATTTGTAATGGAGTATTTGTACACAGTGTTATTATCACTTATGCCAACAAAAAAATCCACTTCTGTAAAAATGTGCTAAAAGTTATTGTTCTAATTCTGGATTGTTATTTTAATCAAAGACAATTATTATAGTCTTTTTTTTCACTGACAAATGCATGTAAGAGCCTTTTATGTTGGAGTTTTCAATGTAGAGCCAGATTTAGATAATTGTAGCAATGCTAGGATAGAAGTGTATGTATGTTTTTTTTATGTTAAAAGTAACCAAGTAGTTACAAATTCATGCAATACATAACATCCCGGTTTGATTCCTGGTTTGAGACCTTTGTTGAATGTTCTCTCTCCCCTATTTTTACTCAGTGCAGTATCAAAGAAGTGACTTTCTGTTGGGAAAATACTGAATGTGTTCCTCCAATATCAGAGTACACATGATAACAAAGGTATCCCAACTGTAGCTGTGAACATGACAGGATGTGTGATTACCTAGAAGAGCATCAGGACTGTTTTAGGCATATGATAGCTATGTGATTAACATGAGGATTCACGGAGATAGACATATGACAAGCATGATTATTGCTTACGCAGGCCTTAGCTAATCTGAACTAAACACTGCTTTGAACCGGTATTCCTGCATCTTGTGACTGCAACTCCTTCTTGTCCCCGTCAAGGACACTCTTCTGGGAGACTACTATTTGTCCCATGCAGCTTTGGATGTGATGCCTACTTTCATTCTTGCAAGGATAATAAATACATGTATCCTGATATTGAAGAACAAGCCAGTGATATTTTTCTAACACTTTCCATCTCTGAATTAACACACACGCCTCTGTGTTTGTTGACAGGTGGTAACCGTGGATACCAAATCATGTGACGGGAACAACAAGAAGGAGAAGAAGCCGGACAAGGGTCAAGCAAAGGGAGGCGTAAGAGAGGTGATTAAAACAAGATACACTCCTCTGTTCAAACACCATATCAACAGGGACACAAATCATTATATGTCAGCTTATCACAAAGATTGTATTCACCATAGTCCCTGCCTTTATCAAAACATAGGAATTAAAATGTGAATATTGTCATAGGATGGGGAAACAAGGTGCAACGCTCTGGTCTGGAGAGATCGAAATACCGTTTACCACAATGCCAAATACAAATATGTATAAAATATGTATATCCTATACACAATCAACACACATGTATACATATGCACACATTAAGATTTAAATAAAAGCACAGCAATCAATATATACAAAATAACATTCATTTCAATATCTTTGGGATTTACCAAAACATTTGCTCAAGGTACCAAAAGTTATTGTTCTAATTCTGGATTGTCATTTGAATTAAAGACAATTATTATATTCTTTTTTATCACTGACAAATGCATGTAAGAGCCTTTTATTGTTGTTTCAAAAGTGCTGATTCTGTGTCTGTTACTTTGGAAGAAAGAAAAGTGCCACTCACCATTGTCCCTGCCTTTATCAAAACATAGGAATTAAAATGTGAATATTCTAGTTAGATGTGGCAACAAGGTGCAACGCTCTGGTCTTTTTCTAAATTAGATTACCAAAGCGTTCTCTCGATGGTGATTGTTTGTTGATTCTCCGCTGCAGCAGAAGTCGTTGCCAGGATTCGTTGCAGAGCGCCTCGGTCTGTACGAGCAGCTGAAGAGGGAGAGTGATGCTCTGCTGGAGGAGAGAGCGAAGAACAGTAAACCAATCAGTGTGGAGCTGCCTGACGGAGGAAAGGTGGAGGCAAGAGCCTGGGTCAGCACCCCGTACCAGCTGGCCTGTAACATCAGGTCAGTGCTTAATTAAACAGAGACATAGCCACTCATTGTAGCTTCAATTAGTGACTGCCAATATGACCAGTATAATAAGTTAATTAATCAAATTATACAAGCAGACATCTTAGAAGGAAACTTGAGTCTCTTTGACGTGATTTTTCTCACTAGCATTTCATGTATCAACCGTTCTTAAGAATACATGTTTTCATGAACCCACTTATACAATTTAAACTAAGATGTTGATGTCATACATTTTTTCTGATTTGGGATTTATTCTTAAGAACAGACGCAAACTCAAGAGCACACTTATTCACTTTTTTGCTGCCAAGTTTTTGCATAATAGTTCGTTATTGTGCTTTCTTCACTTTCTCAGCTTTATTATACATTTAAATACAATAATACTTTTTTCCTTTTTTAATATTTGTTAATATTATTTATTTTACATTTCTTTATTATCAATTCATTAATTTATTATTTAGTCTAGACCATAGAGGTCTAGACCAGCGTTTTCCAACCTGTGGGCCCCCTAGTTCCCAACCTGTGGGCCCCCTAGTTCCCAACCTGTGGGCCCCCTATTCCCAACCTGTGGGCCCCCTAGTTCCCAACCTGTGGGCCCCCTAGTTCCCAACCTGTGGGCCCCCTAGTGCCCAACCTGTGGGCCCCCTAGTTTCCAACCTGTGGGCCCTCTAGTTCCCAACCTGTGTGCCCCCTAGTGGTCTGCGAAGGCATTGCAAGTGGGCCGCCAAATAATCTTTTTTGTTTTGTTTTTTTGTACAGGCTAAAGACACTTATCACATTTTCTTCTATATCCAGCACTAATGTAACATCCATTATCTTGAGTCAGATGAGCAGTTTTAATCTGACCCAGGTGGCTGATACTAGTCTTGCTGCATTCACTGCCTGGGTCAGTTACCAAGAGGTGTTGGGACAGATTGCAAATGTGAACATGGAGAATTCTTTTTTTGGAAAATTAATTTAGAGATGTATTTGGATCTACCTCCTGCTGGTTCTTGGTTAAATATCTTAAGGGGCTGCACACACGAAGCAGTTTTTACTGTATCGACTATGCGAGGTGTGTTGAAGGGGCATTTGATGGCTACAGCGCTGATGAAGTTTGCACCCCAACCATAACCAGCTAATCGTACCATTTAACCTTTGGGTGATGTTTTTAAAGTATGTATTGAAGTAGAAAACCTGTCCAGCTACATTTTTGGTGCATATCAAAGTTTTCTGAAGCCCTAGTGGCCATAGCTAGCTATTTGACCATTCTTAGAGAAAGTAACAAGCTACGACGCTGCTAATCAGGAAGTACTCGTTTGAGGACATTGGGACTTTATTATCATTCATGTTAAGTGAAGGCGTAAAAGTAAGCCAACGTGGTTTGGAAAGATTTGAGAAGAAACAAATAGTTTACAAGAGTATAAATAGTTCTGACATGTGGTACAAATTATTGTATTATTTGTATTCTTATGTGATTCATTTCAAGGGCAAATAGGTAATCTTTAAATAATTTCACAACTATCCTTTACTTTTTACAACTTTAAAGTATGCAGCATTGACACAGATTTTATATGTAATATACAAAATATTTATAAAGCAGATTCTTCAAAAACCACTCCTGAATAGACCCAATACGAGTGGATTGTTTTGTCTCCAACTTGAACATTTAAAATACACCAAAACATTCAGATATATGTATATATTTTGTTCTTCTTTTTATTTCAAGCGTTTCTTCAGAGAGCACTCCTCTTCAGCCCAGAGTTTGGTGAGCAGCTACTTGATGGTTGAGGGCTCTTCTTCTCTCAGCTCAGATCCAAAGCTCAGGCTGGAAGGACGTGGACCTCTCAGCTGTTCCAGTTCTTGCTGAAGAGCTGCGTGGTTCCTTCTCTCAAACTGGATCGTCTGGTAGAAATATTCCTGGTTGCTTCTGTAAGCCACTTTGACCTGCTCGAATTCTTGGTGGAGCTCCTTCTTCATGGTCCTTTTCATTTTGTTTCGAACCTCAGTGGCAATCTCGAAGGTGTGCATGCTCTCAGGGTCGCAGGTCCTCTTCAGGCTCTCAAATTCATCCCGTATGTCTTTCTCTTTGGTGATGGACAATTCTTTCAGGTTCGTCTGGCGGGCTAGCTGCTGTTTAGCCTCCTCCAGTTGCCTGCGTGTTTCCTGTTCCTGGTTCTGGAACCTCTTAGTGAGGATTTTCTCACGAGCCAGCTGACGTCTAGTCTCCTCCAGTTCTCTGCTGAGCTCCAGCCTGGGGTTAGACTCCCAGCTGTTAGCATTAGCAGGCTGGCGCATGAGCGTAGTGTTCTGCTCTTGACGTCGCTGCCTCCTTCTCACACGCTCCATCTTTAGCTGGAAGATTATCTGTGTTCTGCTGAAAATGTGTTCTCTCTCTCTGAAGGAAAATGTTTCGTGCAGACTCAGAACATGGCTCCTATTGGCCAACTAGGACGGAATGCCCTGTGATGTCATGAGCTGATCAAAGCACTCGTTCTTTGCAATTATTTCATGTTTCCATAGCGATGTCATAGAATGTTGGCAGTGCACCGATGACATCATGTGTTCTGAATGGTTTGATCTGCTCATGACATCAGCATGACATCACAGGGCATTCCGTCCTAGTTTGCAAATAGGACCCAGGTTCTGAGTCTGCACAAACCATTTCCCTTCAGAGAGGTAATACATTTTCAGCAGATCTACACACAGCAAATCTTCCAGCTAGAAGAGATGGAGCATGTGAGGCACAGACATCGAGAGCAGAACTCTACGCTCATGCGCCAGCCTGCTAACGCTAACAGCTGCGAGTCTAACCCCAGGCTGGAGCTCAGCAGAGAACTGGAGGAGACTAGACGTGAGCTGGCTCGTGAGAAAAACCTCACTAAGAGGTTCCTGAATGAAGAACAGGAAACACGCAGGAAACTGGAGGAGGCTAAACAGAAACTAGCCCGTAAGGTGAAATGGAATGAATTGTCCATCACCAAAGAGAAGGACATACAGGATGAATTTGAGAGCCTCAAGAGGACCTGCGACCCTGAGAGCATGAACACCTTCATGATTGCCACTGGGGTTCGAAACAACATCAAAAGGACCATGAAGAAGGAGCTCCACCATGAATTCGAGCAGGTCAGAGTGGCTTACAGCATCAACCAGGAATCTTTCTACCAGAAGATCCAGTTTGAGAGAAGGAACCAAGCAGCTCTTCAGCAAGAACTGGAACAGCTGATAGGTCCAGGTCCTTCCAGCCTGAGCTTTGGATCTGAGCAGAGGGACAGCCTTCAGGAGCAGCGGGAGTCAGAGGACATGGAGCTGCTGTCAGCAGAGTCTCTGATGCAGAGGATGAGCCAGAAGATCCAGTCTGTGAAAAACAGGAAGAACAGCCCTCAATCAAGGAGATGCTCACCAAACTCTGGGCTGAAGAGGAGTGCAGACCTCATCTGACACTCTGAAGAAAAACTTGAAACTAGAAAATGCATTTCCTGCTGAAAATGCGTGTGAATGCTGTAAATTATGTACTTTTGTTGCTGAAAAAGCTGAATATGTTATTAGCTGAATGGTAGCTGCTTTTAGCTACAAAAACCAAGTAAGTGTGTTGCTGAACTTGGCGGAGAAATGCAGCAAAGTGAAATGATTTGAATCAAAATGGTTACAGCTTTTGTCTTATAAACAACTCAATGTATAGCCTCAATGTCCTGAAATAGCTGAATAATGTAATTATTATTATTATAATGGAAGAGAAAAAAAAGTAAAAATGCTTTGAAAAGCAGCAGAATATTTTAACTGCAAACTTTTGAACTAAAACCATACATCACCAATAAAGTATAATTATATATTTCACGCTCTCCTCCACTCTAGGTGTGACATCACGCACTCTAAGCCTTAACGAGCTGCGCAATTCACACTAATGTTAAAATCTGAAGAGGGCCTCTTTACCAAGCTCCAAACTGAGTTAAATATCTAAAAAAAATGTGAAGAATAATTTGTATAGCTGAAGGTCTTGTGATCATTTTAAAGTTGGAATGAAGTCTCTAGCTGAAAGTATGTGGAAGGAGTAGCATTTGGCGCACGGTGTAGCTAAAAGAGGATTTGAAGGTTCCTCCCATTGAGTTACATTGTAAAAGTTTAAAAAGCTGAATATTTAAAAAAGTATAAATGTCATAAACAAGAAAAGTCATAGCACACATGGACATGTGAAGGAGCTGAACATTTTAATATTTGAATGGTTTCTGTAGCTGAAAGTATGCTGAAGTAGTTAGCGGTTGAAATACTGTAAGAAGCGGAAGAATAAAGATTGGAAGAACAATAGTGGGACAGCAATCACACTAATAAAAAGAAGAAGAAAAAATAAAATAATAAAACGGACAAGTCAAATCAAGCAATCTGATTGGTTCTTAGCCGTGATATAATGAGCGTATATCACGGGTAGAATTGTAGTTACTTTTCACAAGTCATGTATCCCTCCGCGTCTGAGAAAAGCTACAACTGTTACGTTACGTCCGTTACGAAACTAACTAACTAACTAACAAAGCTTAAGATGGAAACATTTAAGGTTAACTTCGACCTCCGGGTGGCCTTACTATGGAGGAGTGGATTGAGCAGTGCCTATCTCCAGAAAAAAAAGCACCTAAATGACGACATGCAGAGCTACGTGAAGAGAAATGATGACCGTTAGTGGCCACAGGTGCGAAAGCTCTCTCCAGAGCTACTGGAAGCCGAATCTCGGGGACCGGAGAAACTGGAGCAATATTCTCGCCACGCCAAGCAACAGCCTAGAACAACCTCAACAAGTAACCACGTAACAGTTTTTCAGTGGGTGCGCAATAAACGGCAACATACAAATTAATGTAAATAAATAGCCAAAAAATAATCGATCAACGCTCTCTGTCTAATTTGTTCGCTAGCTGTTAGTGTTGTTGCATAGCAACCACCTCACACTATGTTTCGTGCAGAAGGCAACGGAGGGACTATTTTATTTGGAACATCATTATTTACTAATAAATACTATTTAAATTAGAGTG